ACAATTTGCAAGACCATTTGAAGTATATCAACAGCAGCATCATGGCCTAAGAGTGAGGCCAGAAATGCAACTAGTCCAGCCAAGAATGGTAAAACCTCCAAGACCATCCCATTTAGGATGGCAAGGAGTGTCACATCCAAAGTTTCCTATGAGTGGTTGGAGACCAATGGGAGAAACAAAAACTCTAAAAAGGAGAGAACAAAGAAGGTTTCATGATATGATGTCCACTGCTGCAGGGGATAAACCATCTAGAAGACAAGACTTAGTGTGGACTAGGGAAGGATTGGTTCCTGCTGCTACAAGAAAAGAAATGAAAGGTTCAACGACCTATCCAGTGCAACCAGTTCAGATTTTGAAAAGAAAAATGAGACTAGAAGAGACTGAAGATAGACTTGTGGGTAAACTTTCAGAGAAGGCTTTGTTAAGCCAAAAGCTGAAACAGTTAGAGAAAGATCTGATGTCTGATGAAGAAGATAACAATAACAAAAAAGATGTGATAATGAAAGATGATCAAGATGGTCATTGATAACAAGAAGGTTAATGAAAGGATTGAAGAAGATGAAGTGAAATTAGACAGCTCTGGTGATGACTTTTGAGAGAAATTAGCTGCCATTCATTTTGGTTCTTTGCCCCTTTTCAAGGAGTGCAACATGCTTATGGCCATCCCACAGAGGTTTCAGGCCAAACCAAACTAGCCAGATAACTTGGTAGGTGATGTTGAAGATTTGACAGAACCAGCTGCTCAGATAGCAATAGTTGAGACACAGGCCAAGCCATTGAGATCAATCGAGGTCATTAAGTTTGTCAATGGAGAGAAAGTTGTGCTTCAAAAACCAGAAGATAAGCTTATTAAGCATCTGGGGCCTCTGTATGTCAAGGCTTTTTTGGATGGAGTACTAGTGGAAAAGGTGTTGGTAAATAATGGAGTTATTGTCAACATTCTCCCATCTAGGACACTGAAGGCTATTGGTAAGTCTGTCAATGACTTACTTCCTACTGAGGTAAATACAAGTAATTTTTTTGGTGGATCATCTGAGGCTAGAGGAGTAGTAGCTTTACAGCTTCAAGTTCGTTCTAGATTAATGGGAACAACTTTCTTTGTAATAGACTTCACTTCTAATTACAATGTGCTCCTAGGTAGGGATTGGATTCACCTTAATAGGTGTGTACCTTCGTCTCTGCACCAAGCATTAATTTTTCTAACTGGTGGTGGTCAGAATAAAAAAGGAATGGAAATCTTTTGGAGTGATGCAAATCCTTTTGCTGCTGATGTCAACAACATAGAGGTTGTGCTGTATGATGAGGATTTGGGCCCAGTTGTGATTGATAAAGAAGAAGTCAAATCACAAGGGAAAGGCTTAACAACTGAAGGGTTCAAGGCCTTCATTGAGGAAGGTTTTAAGCAGATAGGCCAGGAATTGGCCAAACCAAGCTTGATGCAAAAGCAGAAGAGGCTTGTGATAGAGGAAATTGCTGAAGATGATGGGTGATGCAAGTGCAAGTAACAGAAGGAGACAAGCTGGATGAGACAGCTGATATAATTAGATCTACTTTTTCTAGGCTTTTTTTATTTCTTTTTAGAAAGTAAGTTTAGCCCTAAGTGTTTGCCTAATTGTTCTTGGGCAGAATGTGTAATCGACAGTAGCCCTCTGAGTTATAAAGAGGTGCAACTGGAACATCTGAAGGTAACTTCTGCCAAACTTGATGATCTCAAGGCAGATGTGCAGGACCCTTTAGAGGAATATAATTTCGGAAGTAAGGCCTGTAAGAGGCACATCTATGTAAATGCTAATATATCTAATGAATGTAAGAGCAAACTAGTTAGTTTGCTTTTTGAGTATGTGGATTACTTTGCGTGGACTTATGAAGAAATGCCTGGATTAGATAGAACATTGATGGAGCATAGACTTCCAATTAAAGGAAATTTTATTCCTCATAAACAACCCCCAAGAAGGATGACTAATGAAGTCACCTTATTGGCCAATAATTAGATCTACTTTTTCTAGGCTTTTTTTTATTTCTTTTTAGAAAGTAAGTTTAGCCCTAAGTGTTTGCCTAATTGTTCTTGGGCAGAATGTGTAATCGACAGTAGCCCTCTGAGTTATAAAGAGGTGCAACTGGAACATCTGAAGGCAACTTCTGCCAAACTTGATGATCTCAAGGCAGATGTGCAGGACCCTTTAGAGGAATATAATTTCGGAAGTAAGGCCTGTAAGAGGCCCATCTATGTAAATGCTAATATATCTAATGAATGTAAGAGCAAACTAGTTAGTTTGCTTTCTGAGTATGTGGATTACTTTGCGTGGACTTATGAAGAAATGCCTGGATTAGATAGAACATTGATGGAGCATAGACTTCCAATTAAAGGAAATTTTATTCCTCATAAACAACCCCCAAGAAGGATGACTAATGAAGTCACCTTATTGGTTAAGGAAGAAATCGAAAGGTTGCTTAATGCAGGTTTTATTAGAGCAGCCAGGTATGTTGAATGGCTGTCTAATATTGTCCCTGTAATGAAGAAGAATGGTAAGTTAAGAGTGTGTATAGATTTTAGAAATTTGAATGTAGCAACTCCTAAAGATGAATATCCTATGCCAGTGGCTGATCTGTTAGTTGATTCAGCAGCCAAGAGCAAGGTTTTGTCCTTTATGGATGGACATGCTGGGTATAATTAGATCTTTATTAACCCAGAGGATACACATAAGATAGCATTTAGATGTCCTGGTGCCTTAGGGATATTTGGATGGGTAGTCATGCCTTTTGGATTAAAGAATGCAAGAACAACTTATCAAAGAGCAATGAACTTCATTTTCCATGATTTTATTGGAAAATATTTAGAAGTTTATATAGATGATGTAGCCATCAAATCTGACAGTTTTGATGAGCATCTAGAACATTTGCAGCAGACATTTCAAAGAATGAGGACATACAAACTGAAAATGAACCCTTTAAAGTGTGCATTTGGGGTATCTGCCGGAAATTTCTTAGGCTTTTTAGTACATCACAAAGGAATAGAAGTGGATGCTTATAAAGCCAAAGCCATTCTGGGGGCAAGACCTCCAGCCAACAAGAAAGAGTTGCAAAGTTTTCTTGGAAAAGTAAATTTTTTGAGGAGATTCATAGCTAATTTGGCTAAGAAAACTTTAGCATTCTCTCTTTTAGTGAAAATTAAGTCAGACCATGACTTTAAATGGGAAGTGTGCCATCAAGAAGCTTTTGACTTGCTCAAAAAATACTTGACAAACCCTCCAGTGCATATGCCACCAATGGTAGGAAAGCCTTTGAAATTGTATATATCAGCCTCTAATATGTCGATTGGCTGTTTATTGGCTCAAGAAAATGATATGGGTCATGAACAAGCCAATTACTACCTAAGTAGAAGGTTAAATGATGCTGAAACTAGATATAATTCTGTTGAGAAATTGTGTTTGACACTTTATTTTGCAGCCATTAAATTGAGGCATTATTTGCTGCTATCAGAAGTGTTTGTAATAGCACAAACATATGTTATTAAATGTATGTTGTCTAAACCAATTTTAAGAGGGAGACAGGGTAAATAGATATTAGCATTAATTGAGTATTGTCTCAAATATGTGCCACAAAAAGCAGTCGAGGGGCAAGCTTTGGATGACTTCTTAATGGAACACCCTGGCACTTCTGTCGATTTAGACCTATATGAGGTCAATTTGGTGGAAAGTGAACCATGGAAATTGATGTTTGATGGTTCAAAAACAGATGAAGGAGTTGGAGCAGGTATTGTGTTAATTGCACTAAACAAGAAAATGTATTAGTTTGCATATCAGTTGGAAGCACAATATGTACAGTCTTGTAATCAAGCTGAATATGAAGCCTTGATAATTGGTTTAGAATTGGCCATAGAATTCAGGATTAGAAGCCTCTAGGTTTTTGGAGATTCCCAGTTAGTCATTAAACAAGTCTTGGGTGAGTTCAAATGTGTCAGTGGTGCTCTAGAAGAGTATTTAACTGAAGTCAAATGGCTAACTAGTTTCTTTGACCATATCACATTCACACATAGGTTTAGACTGGAGAATAAAGAGGCTAATGAGATGGCCCAGACAGCTTCTGGACTAAAAATACCTAAAGGAGCTTAAGAAAGGGTGATTCGAATTCAGAAAAGAAACTTTTCTGCACTTAAAAATAGGTGCAGGAATTTCCTACATATTCTCACTTTGGATATGACAGAAGAAGATTAGAGATTCCCTTTAATAAAGTACCTATCGAATCCCAGTGAAAAAAGCAATAGGCAGGTGAGGTTTCAAGCCCTAAACTATGTTATCATGGGAGATGATTTGTTCAGGAAGGCTCATGATGGTTTGACTCTGCTTTGTATTGGTAAATTAGACCAAATGAAATCTATGGCTAAAGCACATGAAGGAATTTGTGGAGCTCACTAAGCTGGTGATAAAATGAGATGGCTGATTAACAGGTATGGTTATTTTTGGCCATTCATTAGAAAAGATTGCATAATGTATGCAAAAGGATGTCAGAGTTGCCAGAAGCATGACAATATTCAAAGGGTACCAGCTGCCAGCCTGCATTCAGTGGTTAAACCTTGGCCTTTTAGAGGATGGGCAATGGATTTAATTGGGAAAATTTTCCCAGCATCTTCTAAAGCACATTCTTACTTATTGCTAGCCATTGACTATTTTACTACATGGGTAGAGGCAATACCTTTAAAAGTGGTGACACAGGTCCAAGTTTTTGAGTTCTTGAAAAAGAATTTGACACATAGGTTTAGTTTACCCAAATCTATCACTGTCGATCAAGGTACAATGTTTAATGAGGATGAGATTAAAGGGTTTGCCAAAGAATATGACATTCAGATATTAAACTCTTCACCATGTTATGCCCAGGCAAATGGACAAGCCGAGGCAACAAACAAGATTGTCAAAAATACTTTAGAGAAAATGATTGAAGACAATCCTAGAGATTGACATTATCTCTTGTCAGAAGTGCTTTGGGCTTATAGAAATTCCAAAATGAATAGTATAGGTACAACTCCATATGAGTTGGTTTATGGGCTTGATGTTGTATTACCTTTGGAAGTGACAATGAGATCCAATCGACTGGCCAAGCATTTGGATATTCCTATAGATAAATATTCAGAGGCATTATCGATTGAGATGCAAGACTTGGAAGGAAAAAGAATTGTGGCTTTTAATCATTTGGTGGCTCAGAAGAAGAAAGTTGAGAGAAGTTATAACAAGAAAGTTAAGAGTAAATTATTTTCTAAAGGAGAATTAGTGTGGAAAACCATTTTACCAGTTGGATTTAAAAGCCCAGAATATGGTAAATGGTTTCCAGATTGGGACGGACCATTTAAAATACATATGGTTCTTAGAGGAGGAGCCTATCATCTTGCTTCTTTAGAAGATGAGCCACACAGAAGGATAATTAATGGCAAGTATTTAAAGAAGTATTATCCAACCATATGGGAATGCATGAGTTCATACACATGAAAACAAAGATATATGACAGAAAGAATAAAGTCAAAAAAAAATGTAATAAGTATTTTCATTAAACTTGTATAAAAAGTACAGAAGGACAAATAGTGAAATTTTTTTACATTTGACCTAATCCCTTTGGAAATACATTGAAAGTCTGCTCCAAGCTTGAAGAACAGACTAATGCTTTAGCTTATTTTACCTAAGCTTGGTTTGGGCTTGCTTGAAAACTAGTGGGCCACTTTTTGCTTGAGCAAGAAGGTTTGGAATTTGCTGAGAAAAGTTGACTTGCTCTTGTTCGATGGCAGTTTTTTGGGCTCTCACGTAGGCCAGTTGAGTTTTTAGCTGAACTTCTTCTGCTGTAAGAGTGTTAAATTGAGCAATGAGGGATTGTGATCTAGTAGATGCTTCAGTTAAAGCATGCACTGCTTCCCTCACTTGCTCAGCCTGATTCTCAACAGTTTTTGGCTCAATCTAAAATTGATTGATAGCCATTAAATGCTGAGGAAGCTCTGAAATGAAGGTTTGAAAGATTTGCACTTGGTTTGGATCAAAAAGTTGAGGCATCAGTGGTGCAATGGCTCCTAAATAGTCAGTCAAAACTGTAGTTTGAGAGAGAGCCAAGACATCCAATGGTTGACCAAGTAAATTAAAAAATTGTTCAATAAGTTCTTGCTCTTCATTGGATAGTTGCTTCAATTTTTCTTCAACAGTTAAATTAGCAACCATTTCTTGAACAGCAAAAATTCGCAAACGTAAATCTTGAATGGAAGAAGAGGAGATAATTACAGGCTGTAGTTATAAAAAGTAAAGTTGACAAATGAAGAACAGTGAATATGGAAAATGATATGAGCAATTATTACCTCTGTGACAGTATGAGGTGAGGTAGAAGTACCCAAGATCTCTCTTGAGGGACTTCGAGCTGGTGTAGTCTGCACCCCCATGTCAGCAGTCAATGATGTTTGAAAAGGCATCTTAGTCTTGCATAAGAGAATGAAAGGGGATTGTTTTTAAACCGTATATATCTAAGCATATATATATATATATATAATAAGAATAAGGTGTATAGGAGAGAATATGTTACCTGTGTTGGAAATGATTGAGTAATGGAAGTGATGATAGTTGGTTGAGGAACTCTCATATCACTTGAGGTTGATTCATCATCTAAAACCTCAGTGTCAGCTCTGTCAACTTCATTTAGAAGGTTGTCATCTGGCTCAAAAACTTGCTCATGGACAGGAGAACCTCTATCAATTGGAGATGTGTGGTTGTCAGAATTAGTGGGTAAGTCAATTGGAGCTTCTCTAACATGGTTTGAACTAAATAGATCTTCTTGAGCATGTTCAGGAATTGTTGATTCTTCTGGAGAAGAGGCCACACCAGGAAAAGTGATGACTTCATCAGTTCCATACGGCACCCTTCTAAGAGGAAAGGCCATTAGGTCTCCTAAAGCCACTTCTTGGGGAATTTCAGACAAAATTTGAGCCAATTCAGGAGCCAAGTTTCTTAAAATGGCTCTTCTTTGGTCAATTTGTTCTTTTTCAAGGGGGTTTGGTTGAGACTCTGGCAATTCAGTGTGGCTTTCAGGAGGACTAACTTGTGCCTCAGCCAGTTCTTCATTCTCAAGAAGAGGAGGAGGTAGGTTGGTATGAGTTTCGGGTATATCTTCATGAGAAGAAGAAGAGGTGGCCAAAGAAACAAGTCTTCTCTTTTAGTATGACTTAAGATATGTTTGAAAGAGAAAGAGGAAAATGTTAGACAAGTAAAATAGAATGTCATTATGTTTAAAATGATAACAAAATTGACAGATTGAGTAAGATTCATACTATTATGGGACGAGAATATGAACTTCTGGAAGAAGAAGAAACTGGTGCAACAGGAGCTTGTGAAGGAACTGGTTGTTCTTGCTTTCTTTTAGGCCTCCTCACAAGTGCTGCACCATTGGAAGAGGAAGAAGCTGGTGCAGTAGGAGCTTGTGAAGGAACTGGTTGTTCTTGCTTTCTTGTAGGTCTCCTTACAAGTGCTGCACCACTGGAAGATGAAGAAACTGGTGTAGCAGGAGATGGTGGAGGAACTGGTTCCTCTTGTCTTCTTTTAGATCTCCTTTCACGTGTTGCATCACCTTCCGATGTTAGTTGAGAAATACCACCTTCTGGTTGTGATTGAGATGCAAAGAATTTTTGAAGTTCTTATTCTCTAGTCTGAAACCTTTGTTCAGTCTCCACACCTGGGTTGTAAGGTGTGAAACCTTTAGCATTGGTGGTGTTTAAGGGATTACCATTATGCTTTCTTTTCTAGATAGTAGAAGTAGGCATTTCTATGGCCAAAGGAATGGTTTTAACTAAGGACTCAGCTGCATTATGTAGAAAAGATATGTACTGTTATACACCCAAAAAAGAAATTTTAACAAGAAATATAAAGTAAGAAGGAGATAGTTGTTTACTAATGCTCATGGTTACTCCTTTTTTGTTGTCAGGATGCACATTCCAGAGGCATATTTGAGTTTTTTTATTAAAGATTATTACATTCATAAGAAGCCATTGGTCTCTAAATCTTGTAGAGAGAAAGGGTGTGACTTTGCAATAGTAGAAGCTGAATTGGTCAAATAGTTCTTGATTGTGGGCTAGAAGGGCCTCCACAACTGTTTGATGTTTGAATTGAATTCTAGCTCCAACTTGCTCATGAATAATGGGATGAAAGTATGGGCAAGGAACAGTCTGATAGAGGCCCATTTGCCTAGCCCATTGACAGGGGTTATAGCTTTCAAAACTGCAGTTAGAAATTCTGCTAGTTGAAAGGGACCCTCCCACTAAAATGTATCTTGGAGTAAGGATTTGAGCCCAAAAATGCTTTTGTTGTTGTCTCAACTCATCACCCAATACAAAAGGATCATCATGGACATAAGTGAGTCTAGATGAGGTGTAGTGAAGTTGGTGAAAAGGGATGAAAAGCTGAGCATCTCTGTTAATAGGTAGTTCATAAAGAAAAGGGAACACCTTAGTAAAAGAGTTAGAGGTGGCTGGTCTAAAGGAAAGAAAAAACTCAGCATAGCTGTGGCATGTGGGGAGAAATGGAGTTTGAGTAGTGGGCCTAATCTGAGGAAAATAAGCATAAAGCCAGGCTTGGAAAAGCCAGAAAGGACCACCACTATTATGATCAATTTCTTTATCCACTAAAGGAAAGAGACCTCTGTATAAGGTGCCTAGTAAAAAGGGGGGCAAGAGCCAATTCTATACCCTTCTGAATGCAAGTGGCTAATGCTAGGTATTCTTTAGTGATTTTCAAACCGGGAACACAGAGAAAATGTTGGGAAAGCCATAGTAAATAAAAAGCTGTCATTTCCTCATTTGTGGGTTTAAGGTCATATTTTTGGTACTTTGTCTGAAATTTCCCATAACAGAGATCAGTGTCCAACTTGATAGGTGTTTTTGGGGTCAAAAGGGCACTGATATGTTGACTAGAAAAAAGGGAGGAGAGTTAAATGGACAACATCAAGAATAGTAGGTGACATCATACCACATTTTAGAATGAGAGAATTACATGATGAAGACCAAAAACATGTAGCAGCACCAATAGCCCATTTGTCCATATCTAAAGAGAAAGTTGATAACCTGATGACATCGTAAATACCTAAAGCTCTCTAGAGGTCAATGTCATATAACATCATTCGTTGGACCTATCGTTTCCAGTTTGGATTAGGTTTTTGCCATGTGCGTAGAGGATTAGGGCTGGAATCCTAATGGTTCCATGACAACTTTGCTTTGTTGAAGAGTAATGTTTCAGTGTCTGCATTAGGATAGTACTAGGTAAGCTTATCAGGGATGGTTACATTGAAAGTAGGGCCCAATTCTCCTTCTACCGAGTTGCCATGGCGTGGGATAATGCAACTGTTAAAGGTGTTTTGACGCAGTAGCTGCTGAAAATCAATTGGAAAGCGTTGTACAGGTGGTGACTCAGTTTGTTTCTTTCCTTTGACCTGACCTCATTTGGGCGCCATTAGAGAGTGTGAGCAGAAGGGTTTTTTCGAAGTCGGAAGGATGAAGAAGCAAATAACAGAGAAAGATAGAGAATGGTGAAATGGTGATTTGAATTCTGACATTCAAATAGCTTGCAGTGGGCCTTTTTAAGTTTAGGCTTTATTTGATAGTTTGATCAGTTGGGCTTACTCAAAGTTCTGGGAAATTATGTTAGACTAATTTTTAGCATTTGGGCCTTATTATAAGTTATAGATAAACAACCCAAATATTTAAATGTCCAACTTTATGTCTTTTAAATAATCATTCAAGGCAAAAACTCCTTTTTCGTCTTGAATGAGAGGGGCATTGTTGACACTAAAAATTGTATATTCTCTGTCGATTGTATGTAACAAATACAGAGAATTGGTCCAGCAGGTGCTAGGTTTAAAGACCACGAGTTTCCACAAGTTTACAAGTGAAAAGCGAGTGAATATAAAGCCTAGAATACAGAGTAAGTGACATAAAGGAAGTAGTCAAAAAAACAGACGTGGCAGTTGTAGTTTTCCTGTCGATTCATCAAGTAATGAAGTGGAATGTGGCCAAACATGGCCCAGGTGTCAAGCCATAAAGTTAGCATGCAAGGCATATAGGATACGTTTCATATTTCCTAGGAGGAGAAAAGTTGCAATAGAGAAACAGTTACTAACAGTTGCAGAGATCATGGGCATTGAAATGGAGGTAATTGGCTATATGATGGGACACGTGGTAGCAGAGCAGCAGTGGAGTTTGAAGACCAGCAATATAAAAGCTGGGAATTTGAAGTTAGAGGGACCTTCAAACAAATTTACAATCCTTATAGCATTAGGAGTAACTTAACTTAGTTAGTTCTTACTTAGGAGTAATCTATTTGTAGTTCAGTTTCTGTAACTAATTATTCTCTATCGATTGTCATGTACATTGAACTGGGAGTTTAATTTTACTGATTAAATTCCAAGTTTGTTTGTTCAACAATTGATTTCTTGTTTCTTCGCATTACAGCCTCCAAAGAAGTCCTTGAAT